GTGCTGGACCACATGTGGTGTTGGGTACTCTATAGGGGTCCATGGGACAGGAGCATGGATTTGAGCAGCACAGTAAAATTTCAAGGAGGGGGTGTTGGTGACCCAGCTCATCTATGAACTGTAATTTCCTGGGCAGAGCCATGTGGGAGCCCCCAGCTTCATGATGTCTCCATTCAGTACCCAATCCAGCTAACAAAAATGGGTAGGAAAAAAACCCACCTCCTAGGAGGGCTTCCCAACTTGCAAAGACTGGGGCTGGCACATCCATAGACTCTTTGCTTTGGTTTATCAGCAGCTTATATAGGTGTCACCGCATAGGCTGAGGTACACTAAACTCAGACTGCTTTACTGCTTCAAAAGATCATGCCCACCCAGTGCAATTTTCTCGTGTGGCAGGGCTGACCCCACTTCCATGGGGAGTGGGGGTGGGGGGGGAGAAAAAGCTGATGTGAATGCAGAGAACAAACTTTGCTAAATAACTTTGCATTTCTGAGAGGCTGTGGGTAAGTGGGGGGTTTCCACTAAAACAAGACATAAATCCTTGTGACCTAGGATGTCAGCAGGCTGGAGAGGACTAGAAATCCAAACAAATGTTTGTTAATACTGGCAGCAGCTGAGGAAAAAGGACTCAAGGAAAAAATCAGCAAAAATTTCAGAGTAGGTGTAATTGGTAAATCTCCTCCCCTGGGCACTCTCTGGCACACCATGAGCCGCCCCTCGCGAATGAGCTCATTCCTAAGCGTGCGGCGTCAAGGCTGTTTCCTTTGAGGAGGAAAAAGAAAATGGGAAACCACCGTGCCCAGAGTCCAGGTTGTGTCCTTCTGTGTCGTGGCTCTGCTCCAGGTGTTTCCCTTTACCTTGCTGCCCACCCCAGAAAGGCTCCAGCCCAGGGGTACACGCTGTGCTCAGCACCATGCGGAGAGCTTGCTGGGTTCCCCTCCGGCCGCGCCGGCAGGCAACAGCACCGCTGCCGGAATGGTACAGGCCCTCCATATAGGGAGCGGAGGATGCGATGCGTGCTGTGCTGCTCTTCTGATTGCTGCTCTTCATGAGCTGAATATCCTATGTCAAAAATAATTTGAGCTGAAGACTCCCCCACCACAAACTGCAGTGCCACATAATAATAATGATGATGGTAACAGTAAATTAGTAATAATAATGAGTTGGGATCTGTGTCAAATCTTGACCTTAAATGATTACATTTCCCAAGACCTCAATTTGAGCTCCGTGCCTGGGAAATGACGAATCGAAGTGTTAACTGCTAAAATAATTCGGAGCCTGCTGGAGTTTTAACAGGCTTTGATTGCGATAATGATGATGAGCTCCGTGCCTGGGAAATGACAAATCGAAGTGTTAACTGCTAAAATAATTTGGAGCCTGCTGGAGTTTTAACAGGCTTTGATTGCTGAGCAGAGCACAGGCGTGTGGGAGCAGCCTGTGGCCACTCGAGCCAGAGCCGAGCTCCTGCGTGTCCCGTCTGCTGCAGCGGGCAGGAGTGGGTGCTGGGGGGGCACGGGGAGCAGCACCGGCGCAGGCATCTCCAGCCCGTGGCCTCCAGCTGATGCCCGTGCCACCTCCTTCTAGCCAAGTTCTTCTTGTAGAAAGTGAAGTGGGATTTTTTTTCTATACGAAAGTTTCTTGTAGGAAGGTTCTTATAGGCGTTTCTTACAGTAAGTGCTTGGCCATCTAATGATAAAGAGAAGAGGTGGAGGGGCAGGTTTTGATACCACTTTCCGTAAGCGGCTGAGGCTGCATTTCAAGGCAGAACTGGGAGCTGAGGTTCACTGGTGTTTCCTGATGTGGATACAAACATACACAGACCGGCAGTGGCCAACTGATAAACACTGGGCAAGCGTTCAAGCTGGCGAAATGTGAGCATGGTAGCGATGGCAGTGACAGCCTTACTCAGATGCTTAACTCCTTCGGTGTTCATTTGTTCAAGATGAAGGAGCACACCCTGACAGTTCTCATGCTGCTGATGTGCAGGCCCCGGGCGAAAACACTGGAGCTGATTTAACTTTCCTCTAGTTTGGCTGTGGGAGTTTTTTAGGCAGATGAGGGTGCAGGGACACGCTGCAGGCGATGGCTTGGTGTGCTCCGCAGAGGGACCTCAGGGGCTCGCCTGGGCTGCAGCCCCCAGCAACACGTGCCCAGCTACCTGCTTCCCTCCCGGCATCCCCAGCTCCTGCGCCGGCCCTTTCAGAGCGTTACCAGGACAAAGTCGTTAAAAACTAAGCTTTTAACCAGCTTAATTGTTCCCTCATGGACTCTTTGATGTGTGGTGTCATTTCAATGGTTTTCAAAGATGAATGACGTTCATCTTAGTATTAAAGAAGCAGCAAAACCATTTTGAAATCCACCTTTCTGATCATCATTCATCAAAACAAAAGACTCTGAAAGCCACCTTTGTTGAGAGACAAATAAAAAAAAAGAACAATAAATGCTTTGTTTGGACTAATAAGAGAGAGAGAAGGGACTCAATTGAGTCTGTACTTGAACAAACAGGAAGGAAAGGATTTGGCAGAATGAACCTAAACGGCATCATATTGGGAAATGCAGGCTAGGAAAACAACCCTACAAAAATTAGGCAAGTCCCAAACACTTACAGAGAATCCCTGTTACCATAGTGGGGTTTTTTGTAATGGAAAAGTAAGAAAAAGGAGCTCTTTTCCCCTGTTTTTAGGATTCTAATGAGGCATCCTGACTTGTGTAGCCAGAGTGAACTGTAGTGATTTTTCATCCCCCCCTCCCCAGTCAGCGTGCTAGGGGAAGAGGTAGGTGTGTAGCTCCAGCCCCCTTCACTTGCCCATGCCACCGGCCCTGAGCCCTGGGGCGCACGGGCTCTGCCTTCCCCGCAGCCAGCGCTGTCCCCCTCAGCCATAGTGGCACCTTAGGTTTAGCTTCCTACTTTGCCCCGGGTCACTGACCACCAGTTTGGCTGAGAGCCAGCCACATCGTGCACACCCATTACCCCTTTCTCTCCTTCTGGAATGAGTTTTCATCTTCGTTGTGTTCTAAAAGCAATAGCATTACTAATCCTGAGCATGGCCTGGCAGCCAAAGCGTGGAGAAGGAAGCTTTCAGCAATGCCAGGCTCTAACTGCTCTCTCACCACCCGGCTGCTGCCACCAGCTTGATGCTTCAAAGCTCTCCAAGCTGCCAGGAGCCAGCCGGAGGAATCACAATTAAAATGAAAAGCCACAGTCTGCCAACCGGATTGCCCAGAAATAATTACCACAGTTTGTATCAGCATGATACATATCAACAGTATAAACTTAACAAGGGTATTGGAAGATCACCACATTGTGGCCTTAGAACTGAAGCCAACTTCTTCCTTTATTTAAAGCCTAATTCCTCTGCCCTTACGCAGTACAAGTAAGCCAAAACTTGCCTGAGAGTTCTTTATACAGAAGTGCACTGGTTTCCCAGAAAGTCACTTAAAAAAGGGTTGTCAGAACAAGCATTGGGAACTATGAGTCTGTTTATTTATGACAGTTATATAATCATTATACAAATGAATATAATTGTGCAAACAAATCTATAGCAGTATATTAAATGATACATGTGCATAAATAATTCTAAATATAAATTCTAAAAAGGTGTTGTTACAATAACAAATTCCTATCGTTAATTATCTGTAGTGCAGGAGTGTTGGTGGTAGAGCGGGACTCTGGCAGGATAATGGCTGTTCAAACACGCCTAAACCACCCCGATCCTCGTGCCTTGTTCCTATTGCCCCCTCAGCCAGGCGAGGACCGCTCTAGACATGCAGCAGCCCTGGGCACTGGCACCAGTTTCATTTAGCAGCTGTGGGAAAAGTCCGGCCTGGTTAGTCCCTGCTTTCAGGAGCTTGCCCCCTCCACCGCCCCATTTCACCAGCGTTTCTGCACAAACCAGGGCTCGCGCTACAGCCCCACGTTTCAGCATAAACAGATGGCACAATAGTTGGTCCCGAGTATTTGAAAGCACCCAGCAGGTTACACCAAAGTTGCAACAAGCTGCGCTGAAGTTGCCTTCTCTTGGGATGCTGTAGTCACCCTTGGAACGTTTTGAAAATGAGATTACGTAGACTGTGAGTGGGTTTGAAGAGTCTGAATGCATCCCTGAGCTTGTGTCTGCCACTGGAGGGATGCGGGCAGCACATAGAGTGTTGAAGCCGTGCTTCTGACTGGAATTTTTGGGCCTAAAATGATAAGCCTCGTGATGCTCATATCAGGAGATACTGCTGGGCTTCCCATGCTCCCATCCTTTCAACCATGTTTTTCACATCCCTAGTGTTTCTGAACTCTCAGCCACCTTCTCTGGGAGTTCTCAATAAAGCGAAGAATTTTATTATTGACTTAACTGGGGACACAGTAAACCAGCGGGACTTTTGCTCAGCAAAGACTAATGCTCAGCTGGCTTGGTAGGCTCATCTCATTTTTGTGCTGTACTCCATGTGCAAGTAGCTACGTGGGTGCTGCCACAAACAGATCTGCACCCAGATGAGCAGAGATCAGCAAAAACAGGCCCTGAGGAAGGTGGGAATTTACCCCCATGCCATATAAAAGTATGAGAGTTTTGTGATTGCTTTGAATAAGCACAGGACGCTTGTTCCACCCACCCACATCATTCGTGTGCAGCATCCACACTCACGTCCATACTCCCACAGCGTCCCATGGGAGAGCCCTGCTCTCCTGTATCCAGACAAGCTCGAGGTGTCAAATCAGGCCATCTGAATCACCCTTAAAATCACTCATCGATTTTCTCTAAGAAGTTATTTATTACACCAGAGAACTGCTTCCATCCTCTCAGTTACCTGAGGTGATGTTGCTCAGGAGCTCTCCTGCAGAGCTGTGCTCATACCAGACGTGTGTAGTGCTCCCCACACCACCCACATAGCAACAACTCATTCCAGAATTATTATTTTTTAATGGGAATACACTGTGCCATATTGTGCCGTGGAAGTTTTTATGCAAACTGTTATAATCTGACCATTTCTTTCTGTAATTTACAGGCTAGAAGGAAAATGATGAAAATGTTACCTTTTTTCCAAAGTGGTCCTATTGGAATACGCAATGGATCAGAGGGTTGCATTGGTGCAAACAGGGAGCTTGAAAACGCTTCAACGTCAGTAGCTGAGCAAGTCCTTGTCCATCCTGAACCTTCTGGAGATGAGATCTGGTCCAGGGACCAGGAGAAGATGAGTGAAAGGCCAGAGGCAGCCTGTAGACCCTCACGTGCATCTTCCATCACGAGCAATGGGAGCTGCACCTCTGCTGGGGACAGCCCTGAAAAGGGGAAGAAAGGAATAAAGAACATCCTTACAAGTGCATTTAAGAAGATGAAAAAGACTAAGCCACCCAGTGGTAAGTGCTCCTCCGTCCTCCTTGCACCACCTCACAGGCCATAGTTATCTCTAGAGAGGATGCGCGAGGTGGAGGGTTGTCCCTGTGAGAAACAAGGGCACTAACAGAACAGAGTGACTTGGCCAAGGAGCCTAGGGAAACATGGACTGAGGGAGACATGACCTCAGGTCCTGGTCCTTTGGTATCAAGGGCACACTCCTTGAGGAACTGCCAGTTTGCAGGTTTTCTGTCCAAAACAAAACTTAACTTCTACCTCTCCTGGGGGCACAGAGATCTGTGGGTGGGTAAGAAACCAAGGCAAACCTCTGCTCTGTTCCTCCATGAAACCAGCACCCTGTGAAATCTCCTCTTACCCCAGGGACAGCAGGGAGCAACAGGCGTAGGTCTTTCTCAGGGCTGATGTATGAACACACAGCTCCTCCAGTCGCGGGCACTGTCCCTGCAGGGTGCTTAGAGAGGTAGAAAAATACCTGCTCAGAGAAACCCAGAATTGGAAAGTGCCCCTTGGCACTTCCAAAGCTCACCTGCCGCCTCAGGCGGCATATCTCATTACCTGGTTCATCAACATAGCAAGCTGTACCTTAATATAAGTTCATTTTTCAGTCCTACCTTCTTTACTGGGGGCTTTTCCAAAGTCTCACTGTTTTATTACAAATTATCTCATTTCCAGGCAAGCCTTTACCTGGCTAATTGGCTTCTCTTTCTCCATGTGTCAAATGTTTTGCCTATCTATCTGGTGGTTTTCCTTCTCGGCCCTGAATTTGCTCAACTACATGAACCAAGTCAACTGAAAACAGACCCTTCATGCCCTTGTTCTTACTGGTGCATGGCCCCATTCCCAATGTCTTTTTTTGAAATAAAACAACCAGAATTGCAGAAAATATTCCAGATGAGATACCACCGATGCCTAGTAGAATTTGTTACCATTTTCCTATCTCAGCTGGACATTCCTGACTGGATACATCCTGGGATCACGTTTGACATTTTCACCATCATCTCACAGTAATGATTTACTGATTCTCCAGGCATCTCCCTTCCTCCTCCATCTCAAGCTGATTCATATTCAGCTTGCAGCAGAAAATCCTATTTGTTGCTAAGTAACTTTTGTTCTATTGAATTTGTATCTTATACTTTGTGCTATTAAATTTCAGCCCATTTACTATTCAAGTTATCCCATTGTTACTGGATAATAGACCAAGCCCTTGGTTTCGATAATGTCTCTGAACCTTGTGTAATCAGCAAATGCCAATAGGCAACTCCCAGCTTTTGTGCCACGATCTCTAAGGAGAATATGAAAGAAGATGAATTTCATGAGTAATGTAGGCTTTCTCCACCCAGGGTTTTCCGTACAAACCTTACACACCTAACAAAACTTATTTGGGGATATTAACTCCTCCAGTTAACTAATAATTTCCTGGTTTGTACCATATCGAGTAACCTGCTGTAGTTCAGATAAGATAGTTCAATTGTATTTATCTTGCCCGCTAAACGTGTCCTCCAAAAAAATTTCACAGGTCAGATTGTGCCAACCTATTTCTGGAAAACCCATGTGGTATTTCCTCTAGCACATCTTATTTAGCTGCATCTTTCAGTCTACATCTTTTTCTAAAGCCGTGCTTCTTATTTGAGGTCATATTAATGGGAAGGGGGGTGGTTAACAAACAAGCAAACAAACAAAAAAATAAATAAATCTCCACAAATCTAGATTTTGGAAAAATGATGGGTAGCTCATGAATATCTGTCCATATGAAACACTGGTGCTAGGTATTCAAATTTCCATTGCCCCAGTTAGAGGTAGGCTAGAAATAATCTGAACTTTAATAAACAGAAAGATTTTCTATATGGTGAAGGAGCCTAAGATCTAACATTATAGAAATACAATTTTTTTAAAAAAAGTATTCCAGAGCCATCATTTTATATAAAACAGAATTCTAAATCTTCATTATTGGGTAAAGAAAGGCTGATCTTTTTTCACCAGTCAAACAGGTCATGGATCTCCTTGAAGAGCAAAAGCTTTGCGACGCCGCTCAGCATCTGATTGTCCTGGAGAAGAGCCTCTCTAGCAAAAGTGAGGAGGGGCTGAACACCAGCCAGCAAGATGTCGAGTCCCTCCACGAAGTTCTGAAGCACAAAGTCTTCAGTGTCTTGAAAGACTCCCTACTGCTAGCGAAAACAAACCCAGAACTGCTGCAGCAGGCAATAGAGGCACTGAAAGAGCAGGAGAAAGAAGATCAGAACTACGCGTCAGAGAATCCACCTGACCAAAACATGCAATTTAGGCCTAGAAAATGGAAAGAGCTTTGGATGGCTACAGTAAAGGAGTCAGTAGAGACTCGAATGAAAGACACGAGCCGTACTCCTAGAACTGAGAACCTCTCTACAGTTGGCCAGAACCTCCTGCACATGGGGAAGACAATGAAAGAAGATTTGACAGTAGTTGTTAGGTACATTAAACAGCTTTACCCTCCTGAGTTTAATGTGTTCGGCACATATGCAGAACTCTACCACAATTATTTTGCCTCCCAGGCAAAGAAAAATGCTGAGTCTCATCTGGAAGACAAGGATGTTTACCTTCTCCTCTCATGGGTGCACAACATTTATCCAAAGTAAGTGAGGCTTTTACACATGTTTATCCCTGGTGATCAACGCGGGTTCACGGGCTGCAAACCGGACATTTACTTGATTTATGGATCGGTATCGCTGCAATGCAGTCTGGTGCCTGGCTAGGCTGTAGGGTCACTGGCGGCATGCTGATGTATACCAGCTGGCCAGGACAGACAGAAGGGACATGCTCAGGGTCTGTAAACTAAGAGCTCACCCCACCAGTCAGGCTTCTGGGCAACGGACATGCACACAGAGGTTTGGGGGGTTTGGGTCTTCACTTGTGGGGTAAATTGGGCAGGCTTATTGCCCTGATCTCTATTGCAGTTGCAGACCTGAACTCATAATTGGAAAATTTGGAAATTTCAGCGAGGGCAGCCAATAAATAGAACAATCTGAGATGCAATTATCCTGGGCATGGAGGATGTTGCTTAGGCATTACCCACAGTCTGTGCTCTCCTCCAGGTTAGGAACCCAAAGGGTGCGCCCTTATGAGAGGACATCATCAGCCAAGGGTCGCCCTTCATCCTTGCAAGCCCTATATGTTATATAACTGAAAATATTACTTGTTGTGGTGTATAGTACTGCATGGAGAATCAAGGGCTCTCACTTCTTAGGTGAAAAGCAGTAATACACCAGCAGTGTTTCTTCTGCTGTTCTAAAGCCATTCAACCTTCACCTCCACTTTTTCCTTCTTGTCTTTCACGGATGGAGTATAATGAGTCAGTGTTGATGCTGGAAGTTTTCCAGAGCCAGCACTGTGCTCTAGGTCAGGATATTCAGCCCTGAACCAGCGTGTGTTTGGAAATCAGTAGCTGAGAGGAGCCAGGGCTCAGCCAGAGCAGCGCAGCCCAGCGCTGGGGACGGTGTTGGACAGGGCAGCGGCTGCTTTGCGGGGTATTCCCAGAGGCCAGGTCTGGGTGTCTGCTCAGGGACCACCTCTCTCCATGGCCAGCAGTGAAGGGAGCAGTGAGGAGGAGGAGGGTTGCACAACAGCCTGGCCCCAGCTTCCAGCACCGTATCAGAAGCAGCCCGTGTGCGGGAAGCACGGCGGGGTACCCCTGGGGACTTGGGTCACGCGCAAACGTGGGAATCGGGCCATGCTCAGGGTTATTCTCTGCAGCTCCAGAGGGAGAGGCTGCTTCCAAATCAGCCCTCCCACGAGTGCTGGCCTGAGCCCCCCACTGCTGGCAGGGCCCCTCCCTCAAAGCTGCTCAGCCTGGCTCAGCCAGCATGTGGTGGGGACATGACAGCGGGGTATGAAGCTGCCCGCTCTGTTCCCAACTAGCCACGAAATGCCAGATTTTTATCTGATCACTTCTCTATATTGATGGGGAGAGGCTGTGTCCTGGGATGAGTCCTTGCTGCTGCTCTCAGTCCCCCATACCCAGCGCAGTGGCCGATGCTCAGGAGCCCAGCCGAACACGACTCCCTTCCCCGGGGTTGCTCAGGGTCCCGCCCTCACAGGTCCCACCCCTGGCACAGGTTCAGCTCCTTCAAGTCCTGCCTGGACTAAGGACAATGTACATTTCCATCTGTTTTTTCACTGATATCCTCAAAAAGTGTTAGTGATTTGCATCAACAGCTGTCTTGAATTACACTGCCCTTGGAAAATGTGATTGTTTGGCTTTTTCATTCCAGAGACATGAGAAAAGATCACGTTTTAGCAGAGGAGTTGGAAAAAGTTAAGCTTGGAAGCCTTTTGCCATCAAGTCTGAGCAAAGAGCTTGAAAAGAAATACCTTGACAGTGAAGAGGTGAGAATCCGTTCAGTCCCTCCTCTTCCCTTTACTGCTCCCATATGACTCCTCGGAGGAGCTCTGACTTGTCCTGCATGCACGCTTCTCGCCTGCGAGTCACGCACCCTTCCAGAGAGAAGCAAAAGCAAGAATGCTTTTGTTTCTTTTGGGGGGATAGGTCAGCTTTCTGCTAGATGGGACTTGCAGAGCAAGCTCCTGCTCAGCTCAGCCTTCTACCCTGGGAGCCATCAGAAAAGAACTGCTCTGTTCTTGCAAACCTGGTGGTAGGAAGGTTGGAAAAAAAAACCAACAAAACCAAATCTTTATGGGTAACTTTCCAGTTTTCTGCTAAGTCTCCAGAGGGATTTATGCTCCCTCTCGCAGATAATGGATTCAGAATTACTTCTGGTCTCTGGAGTGGTGCCAGACCTTGAGTGAGCACAAAGCACGCATGTCTGGTCTTGAAAAATCTGTCTCTTTGATGGAGAATTGCGGTCTGCAGAAAATAACAGTTGCTCTGGTATTTGGATCACTCTTGCCTTAATGGAAACAAGAAGCAACTTTTACAGTACTCTCATAGCTGACTGTTTCTGGCATTTTGGGCTTGGAATTCCTGGAAAATGAGAAGACAAGTTCCAGGTTTAGCTGTAGCCCGTGATGGTTTGCAGATGGGAGAGGCGGGTGTGAGGGCTGCAAAGCACACGAACCAGGCGCTTGGTGATCAGCGATAGATGCCAGCCACTGCACGGACCGTTTCCACAGCCTTGCTGCGCAGTCTGCACGCAAGAGGGGTCGGAGCAGAGAAAACCTGGGAACACTTTGTTTCACTCCCCGATGCTCATAAGACGTCAGAAGCGCTGATGAAAAAGGATTGCAAAACCAGGCCCAGAGGGCAGCGCTGCGTGTAACACCCAGGCAATGCGTGGCTGGGGGAATTTGGGCTCTGGCATGCGTAACTGCCTGCCACCCTCCTGCCCACCGCTCCCCTCCCTGCCCTCGAGGTCACCACTGACACGGGGGGGGCGGCAGACAGGGATGTGCATCTTGATCTTCATTCCTACCCTGTAATATTCAACTCGCTATTGCGTAGGTGGATATCGGGAGGGGGTTGTCCTTGCTGCCGTGAAGCTGCGGATGAGGCATCTCCTAACGAGGGGCCTCTATTTCTCAGCCTGGGCCGAGGAAAAAGTCTGCTCAGCCAGAGAAATGGTGGGTGGGCGAGTAAAACCCGCGTAAGGCAGGAACTGCTACCTCCACTTTGTGGTAAATGCTGTTGTTCTTCCTTCCCAAAAGGCTACTATCAAAAATTCACTGAGCAAATGTTTAGATAAAGAAATCCAAAGATGGAAAGAAGATGAAGAACCAGAGAAACTAAACGGACATTTCCAGAGTGAGCTACTGGCAATATTTGTTATCCAGGTAATACAGATGTATATTAAAAATAAACAATTGCATCCTGCCTGTATTTAGGGCATGAGACTAACTGTAGTCAATTCAGGAAAGCGAAAGGCCGAGTCGCCTGTGTAGGGTGGTAGTAGAGGTGGGTGGTACCGGGGGGCCCCCACCCCTGGCCTGGCACGGTCCTGGTCTAGCATGTGATGGAGACAAACTCCTCTATAAGCAAAAGGAGCAGGAAAGCTGCCTTCCTTTCTCCCTGTGTGGTCTCTTCTGCACCCCCAGCCGAAGCCAGGCCATTAGGTGCTGGATAACGTAGGGGCAGAGAGACAAGAGGCAGGTTTAGCCCAGCGAGGGAGCGGCACGGCACTGTTGCCCTGCCTGCTCCGGGGGGGACTGTCACCCTGTCACCGGCAGAGCCGCTCCGAGCGCGCACGCCCTTTCCCCATGCCCAACACTCTCCCTCCTCTGGCTGCAGGGGATTAGTAGAGTTTATTTTTAAAAAATAAACCTTTCATATATTGAGGTTGTCATGCTTAAACGTTTTTAATGTAATCATATGACATTCAGCAAAAAAACAAGTGTCACTTTCCCCACTTTCTCAGCTATTTTGTAGACTTTCTTTAATGTTTCTTTCTTCTTCACCTCTCCCCATTTGAAAATTGGCTTGAACCCACCAAATAAGTACAGCTGCTCTGCACAGTCCCTGGCGCAGTGGTGGGGAGACGAGCTGGGCGCAGGCACCGCAGTTAAGGATCTATAGCCTTTTTAACCAGCGAACCTGGCCTTTTTGGAACAGACGGCATTTAAAACTGATCTTGTGGTTTTGTTTGTTTCGTTAGAGTGTGTACAGTGGCCAGAAGCGAGCCAAGGAGATCAGCGTGGCAGTGGGCGAGGAGCTGTCGCATCGCCTGTCGAAGGAGCTGCCTGCCTTCCTGAAAAGGTGCGGTAGGGCCGCGTCGGGCAGCGGGGCTGGCAGGGCTGCCCGGGGCTCCCACTCATCCGCCTCTCCTCTTCCCATCTCCCCTGCAGCTACAAGGATGCTTTTGAAGACTTTAAGGAGAAAAGCAAGAAGCACAGATACTACAAGCCTATACTGATTGCAAATATTAACAACTGCTGGAATTTTAGGTAAGGGTCAAAAAGAAAAGGCTTTGCTCCTTCCTCTGCAGGCAACGGATAGTAGTGTGATAGAGGGGAGCTGCTCCAGACTGGGCAGAGGAAGGTCCGCCTGCCCGCAGAGGAAGGTTTGGAGACCTGAATTTCTCTCAGTCTCTCTTGCTTGAGGACAGATTATTCTGACCTTGCTGATGATTCCTTGCAGAGACTACGCAGAGAAAAACATGGCAGAAATGGATGATGATAAAGCCGCTATCCTCAGCACTCTCGGTGACATTGAAAACAGCGGCTTCGAGGTGCTGCTCCAGCAGCTCTTTGCCCAGCTGAAGGTACCGTATCCGCGCCCTCCTGCCCCATGGCCCGGCCTGTGCCGGTGCCAGGCATGTTCCCCTGCCCTGCTATCAGTTGCCCAAATCTCTGGTTCAAATGCAACAAAGTTCAGAAGGGCCGTGGGACAGGTCACCCCTCAGCATCAGTCAGCAAACTCTGAACTGCTTCTCCTTGAGCTGGTCCTCAAGCCTGCAGGTGAAACGGATGCAGCTACATAGGCGTGACCGTGCGGATGGGCAGAAAACGTGCCCGTCGCATCTCAGATAACTGCTGCAGGAGGGAGAGTCTCAACCTGCAAGTGTTTACACTCCAAACTGTAGGAAGCAATCACAGATGACATGAACGGCAATTACGCAGCTTTTGGCTTCTTCATAAAGGTGGCCTGAAAGACACTTTTGGTTTCTTTCTTTTTTTTCTTTTTTTCTTTTTTTTTTTTTTTTTATATATATAACACAAGCTTTTTAAGTTGAGCAACTGTGGTGGAGGGGAAGGCGTAGGAGTCAGGAACATTCAGCCACAATCTCTTCTGCTTTCTCTGTAGGGACTTTTGGAAGGCATCTGGCAGAGCAGGGGTGCTTTTTTTATTTGAAGATTTATTTACTGTGGCCAGGAAAAATTGTGAATGAAAACGGCTCATAATGGTTCATTTTTTTCCCCCTGGTGGTTCCATAATTCTCTAATCATAAAATCATAGAATCATAGAATGTTTTGGGTTGGAAGGGACCCCTAGAGGTCATCTAGTCCAACCCATCAGACATGATGGTGTGGGCAAGACATTAAAAATGTGGAAATAAAAAAAGCATCTCCAGTATGGGCCTTTCTCCTCAGTTGTCTTCATCCTGAGGAACCAAGAAGGGGGCACAAATCCAAACCAGACCCCTCTTCCCCTGCCCCCGTTTGCATTGTTGCACATCCCTGCACAGGACCGCACGCCACATTGTCACTATGTATGACACTGTACATATAGAAATGCTAAATATACATGTGCATAGAATTTCTTTTCAGGGAACTAAGCGGATTTTCCTTTGTTTCAGCCAATTTATAAGAAGTTTACAGAAAATAAGTGGGACTCCAGCAATGAAATTATGAACGAGATCATTAAAACCACCAGCAAACATATTTCGGATTTCCGGACCCTAAAGGACCCTTTCTACCATGTAAGTCCAAGGGAAATATTGAAGGGATTCTGGGATGCCAAGGCTGCATTTTCATCTCTGATCCTCTGCAACTAGACTGGCCTTGACCCGCGTTAAGCTGGTGAGCTGGCCCGGCATCGGAGAGCCCTCTCAGGCAGGGTTCCCGTCTGTTTACCTAGATTAGCCATATAAACCTTACTCTTCTCCAGCAGAAGCAGGCTGCTGTAGCTCTGATGCAGTGTTTGCAGAGAAAACCACCCTTGCTGTAGAGAAAGTGCTCTAGGGATCACCCAAAATACGGCTTTATTTATGTATGGGTTTGGTTTAGCAACCTTGAAACATGGATGCAATTGCACGGTTCTGTCTCATGGCTCCTAAGGGCCAGAGGAGATGGATGCAACTGGGACAAATCCCAGATAACTCAGCCACAGCCACGTTTTCAGTGGTGCTGGAATATATATGAAACATCACCATATAAAAAAATCTTTGATTTCCTGCCTTTGTCTTTTTAGCAGCCAAAGTAAAATTATGATGTTTTGTGTATCAGAGAGAGGAACAGGAGGAGCAGCATGAATTCCTGTTTCTCTGGAGTACTGCTACTTCTTCCCTAACATGTTAGATCTTGTCTATGCCTTCAACTCTTCCCAGAAGGAAACAACTTTTGGAAATTCCCACACTTAATTAGTTTGAGTACAAAGAAATTCTCGGCATCTAGGATATCACGTAACCAGTCGTGGGGAGGTTGGCAACCAGCACTGTTCCTCACATCTGATCCGCAGCAGGCATTTGGTGGGGCATGTTTTACAACACCCAAGACATTTTTGTCCTCCATCTACACACATGGTTTGCTTTGTCCCCAAGCAAAAGATAGATGGATCATCCCCCTCTCCTTCCCAACAGGCTATCGTCGACAAGGTCCATGCCCGCTTGGTTAAAGAGTACATCGTGAGGCTGCTGAAGAGGAAAGTCAGCCTGAAAACTCCAGCACAGCAGCAAAACCTGGCCCAGCACATCTCCAAGAATGCTGCTGACCTGGAAGCCTTCTGCACCAGCAATGTACGTGAATGCTCGCTGTGTCCACACCAGCACAAGGCACAGGGACACTGCAAAACAGGAAATTAAATTTTCTGGGACCTCCCAGAAAATCCAACTCAGCTTACTTTTCCTGGAGGGAGGGACGTTAGGCAGAAAGAGGTCTCCAAGTGCCAGCGGGCAGGAAGGCTCCCCTGACACCAGCCTGCCCTTGCCCAGATGGAGAGCGATGATTTCCTCCTCCTTTGTCCCCCACACAGTGGTTTCCTTTTGAAGATTTATATGAATAGGGTCAGAAGATTTAGCTAAACACAGCAGTTCTCTGATTTCGGCACAACTTACATGGAGTCTGGGTTTCACCTCTTCCCTCTCCCGCTTGATTTCCCTCACGCTGCTGCTTTTAGGTCAGGCAGGGGCTGGAACGAGCAGTGGGGTCTCTGGTACACAAGGGTTTCCCCCACCAGAGACCCTTGCTTTTTCTGCATGGCTGAAACACCCTGCTCTGTCCTCTGAGATCACCTCCCTCCTTTCACACCTCTAAATTTGCTTGCAAAAAAGCGAAGTCAAGCCCTTGTCCTCCACCACCCCATGCCCGTTTGACAGGAGAAGGAACAAGCCTGAGCATGACTCGGTGTGGGCAGGAGGTCAGGCAGCCATCGCCTTGGGATGTCCAGTGGACAGAAAACAGATCCAGCTTTTACCTGAGTGAGCATGGAAGGGATTTTGGCAATGCCTGGAGGTGCTAAAGGCAGAGTTGTGTGTGGAGCTGGGAGAGAGCAGCACCTGCCAGGGTATTACCTTGCCCACCAGACCTTGTACACACACCAGGGGGCACAGAAACCCAAGGAAAGGAAAATGGGATGGGAGGGAAGGACAGAGAGAATCTGTAAAGGCAGGTGCGGAAACCTTAAGGGGAAACCCTACACCACTTAAAAACCATCACAAAACTAATCCAATTTCTCCAAGGCTGGCCCAGGCAGAACCTGGGCTAGAAATATCACTGAAAACAATGAGGCACCTAGAATCACTGCTGTGGCCTTCCCCCTCCCCAGGAAACAGCCTTGGGAGCTGGCTTGGTGGCACCCCTGGTGAAATACAGCTCCTGGGCTGGGCGGAGGGTTGAACGCCCCTCCTCGATGCCTTGCTGACCGCTTTCTCTCCTGGCAGGGGTCTCAAGCCACGTGGCTGAATTCAGCGCTCCCCAAACTGGCGGAAATAATCCGACTTCAGGATTTAGGTGCTATTAAGATTGAAGTTGCAACGCTCGCCACGACATACCCAGATATCCGGTAAGAGGCACTGAAGCAGATCCACAAATACTCATATGGAGTTTTAATTGAGCCAGGAAACAGTCAAATACGAGGATAGGTGAGGTTCACACAACCTGAGTCTGTACTAACAGGAGGGGGCTGCCTGCCAGGCTGGGGCAATCCCAGTGCCATCAGGCAACAAAATAACTATTAAAAAAGGCCTATTTTTATATTCCAAATTCTGATCTGATTTTCTCCTTTGCTTTGGAGATTCCCTGTTCTGCAAACCTCGCAGGGCAGTGCTGGGTCCCGTGTAGGACTGCCAGATCCCTAGCTGGCATCCACCAGGGACCTCAGCACCCACTGCGGGGTGGGGGCCGCATCATGGCACCAGGGACCCGGCACACGGAGACCTGCGGGAGGAGATAACACCTGCCCATTTCTCTTCCACAGCAAAAGGCACCTGGAAGCGTTCCTGTACATCAAAGCCAATTTGTCACGTGGCGAACTCAAAAGCATCCTGGGCTACTTGGCAGACAGCACAGCATCCACGCCTCCTGGGGCCCCGCTCTTCTCCAACATAAACGTGTCCTAAGCCAAGGCACCCCTTGGCACCCCTTTATGCCAGACTGTGGGCTAAGCCGGGGTAGAGACCATCCCCTGGAGCCATGCACAGTGCACACTGCCACCTTCTCCTACAGAAAGTACTTTGTCCTAATCTGGTGCTCGGCATCTCTGTGGGAATCACTGCCCTCCGTCCACAGCCGGGAAAAGGGGGCAGCCGTGGGAGGAGCAGCACTTGCAAGGACCAGGGCTGCTCCTCGCAGCAGTCACAGACTCCCTGCAAAGTCTCCTTGGCGCCACCACATTCTCTGCCTGGATGCTGCCCTGGGTGCTCTGACCTCTGTCTACCTCACAGGCTGCCGTGGAGGCCACGTTGCTGACTCCCCAGCTAGCCCGGACTGAGCAGGCACCTCCTGTGTAGCTTTCTGTCTTCTGTGGGAATGGAGGGAAACAAAAACTGAAGCCAAAATTTAGAGATGTTGGAAAAGTCCCATGTGAGCATGCTTGCACCCTATCTGCCTTCCACTGAGCCGTGCAGGGGCGGCTGCGTTAGGCTGATGGGAGAGGCACCGAGCTGTTGCTCAGCCATGCCGGGACTCCGGCTGTCCCCCTGCGCTGCAGCACCCCCGGATCTGGGGCTTGGAGCGGCCCCGGCTGCACGCTCTGCTCCGTGCAGCAGCATTGCCCAGGGGCTTCGGGGATTCCAAACCAGCCCCAGAGACCCTCAGCTGGCCCCACAGCAGCGGTCCAGCTGGGGAAGCATGTGCTTCCTTCACCTCCGTGAGGTGGGAGCCCCTGGCACCCCCGGCAGCCTCCAGCCCCCCTGCAGTGAGCCCATCCAGCGCATCTGCCCTGGAGTGGCACCCTGCTAACAGGGGGTTAGGAGCAAACCGCCTATTGCAGTGGATAGCGTGGGCTAAGCACCCACTGCTGAAGCACTTTGGATATTACTTAAGCCTGCCTTATCAAGGAAAGGACTTTTCCAGACCCCATTAACATCATAGGCTTTAAATGGGTGGTGGAACTGGTCTCAAATGCCATTATAATGTATCGAGCATCCTGTATGCATCACCATTTCCTCAATCTCTCTTTCCCCTCTTGCTGTGAGGTAGATACAGTGTGAAAACACAAATAAGTCTGTTGTGAAACTATGTTTTGTTTTTACATACCGGTTTTTTGGGAAGTGAATCACTTGCCAGAATGACAATGTGTTTAGTTTAAGACCTTTACCTTCTGTTTTCCTCTGTTTCAACTTTTGTGTCCATCTGTAGAAAGTCAGTCCAGAAGGAAGACGCATAATGACTGTGCAAACCCTGTAATATATTTATATGCATATGCAGTACACCATTGGTGTATTTTTGCACCCAATTTTATTTTTTCTCAGTTAGAGATATTCACTTGCAATGTTTATATTTAAACAGTATTCAAATATGCTAGAAAAGTGACTCATTTATTCCATCTCTTGCTGTTGTTTGCTGTGTTGCCACATGTAGTCCTATGTACGCCTTCAAAGGGACAATTCTTCCCCTACTCCCAGCCTGCTCCGGTGAATGCCACCCACCAGTTCCAGGTAGGCGGGGTGGTGCTGGACTACGGACAAGCTGGAAAAGCAGAGGCACACTCTGTTTGTGCTGGGTATGGGTCCCATAGCCTGGCTTTCCTTGCTCTCTGGAGCAAGGACTGTTGTGTGCGCTGTTTATGGTATCTGATATAATAAGGTCCAAAACATCAGCCTCTAAGCACTACCACAGTCTCAATGTTGAATAATAAAAAGATACATATATATTTGACATATATCTCATCCTTACTGCTCTGGCATCCCCCCTTCCTCCATCTCTGTTGCCTCCTCCTGTTCATATGAGTCTTTAGCAGATACAGCCCACCAGAATTCAGCCCCCGCCGGCCCTCCTGGCCCCATTTACCCTCCTAGCAGCTATTAAGCCTGTGGCTTTGCTGCTGTCTGCAGCGAGGCAGATGCAGGAGGGGTCCTCGGCCGACACGTTATGTGACAAAATTGTACACTGGGTGAAAAAAAGAGCTTTTTGTTTCAGTCTGCTATGGCCAGGGGTGGTGCAAACCTCCCTCTCCTTCCATAAGCATGCTCCCACTCCCACATAAGCTCATATATACTCATAATTTTAAAACTTATTCCATGTTATTTAAACACTTGTCCCAGCTGCAATTTAAAGCCAAATGCTGAAATGACTTCTGACAGTGCAGAGCACTCATGACAACTGTCACCTATTGTGCAACATTTTCTTTCCCAATTAGTGAAAGGTCAGGTTATTGCTATAAATCATTGCATCTTGATGTAGAGATCTGTTAAGGGCCTACAGAAATGCATCATACAAGTGATTGCGCTGGTCTTTTTAAAAAAAAAAAAGATTCCAGCTAAGTAAGTGTTCAAAGGAAAATAGTGAATCTATTTATATATCATAATTAGGATGGGTAGGAGAAAATGGTTTTCATACACATTTCATAAGCCATATGGAACTGCATTGTGCAATTCTCTTCATCCTGCTATAGAAGTCCAGCGTTCAGCTCTAATGAGCCCAGGAAACTAATTTATTTATCTTCCTCTATGACTCAACATTTTCAATGGCATTTTTTCATATGTGGCATATTACACATAGCCAGGTACTTTCAGGACATTGCACAAATGTCTTCTGATAACAGCATTAGATTAATACTGATAAATAGCACTCCAGTTAACTACATAAAATTTTCTGAGGTCAGTGTGGCTGGATTTTCTTTATCACACAACCTCTGCTGATGTTGCTGTCTGCCTCTCCTTGCTGGCAGAGCAGATAGCCAAGATGAAAAAAATAAAATCACCTTTCTAAAACATTTAAGCAAGCTGGTTCCTGGGCACAGGTGCTGTGGCATTGCCAGCTCCCTAAGTTGGTCGCCATCAGTGTCAGCAGGACATCAGCCTGCAACAGCGCTGGACACAGCCTGAGCTCACACACGCATGCACACTCCCTACCCATCCAACCCCACTGAGCACTTCCATCATTTGGCAGACTGGCAATTTGCAGTGTAAAAGACACAGGCACGCAAAGCACAGCACACCAGAGCATGGACCGAGGCATTATTTGCCCCCCTCTGCTCCCTCAGGAGTCATCTGCTGCATGCCAAGTCCCCGATGACGCCTGGGGAACCTCTGCCCTTGCTGCAGGGGAAGCAAAAATCAGATCCTCCTAAGGGTGGGCATGATGGAAAGAAAAGCAGAAACCTTCTGTTGGAGCCTGCTGAAAAACTTTGGGGTCTCCAGACCTGCAAATGAAGAGTTAAGAAACCAGAATGCCTGCAGAGCCTCTCCTCTGAGGCTGGATCTTCTCACCAGGATCCCCTGAGAGATGACAGCACTGTACTAAAGGCCAAAGGATTTACCCATGTGCAGCGTTCAAGAGAGACATGCTAGACCAAAGTGCTTTGGTAAATGAGCCTTTCTGAATTCAGCCTGCACCGCCAGGTGGGCAGACCTGGCTTCGGTGACATGCACAGTGACACGCAGAGGTGACACAGTTCCTCACGTACTAATCGATCTAAAGCATGAAGAGTCCGTGCAATTACACATTTGCAAAGGGTGTGGCAGCAATTTGCTGACCTCCATTCTCAAATCTCATATTTAGTTTAGCTGGTATGAACTTTAATAGGAGAAATCCTAGAAACCCAAATCCAGTGGGAAGAGACCATGAAACCTGGCAATGCATGGAGAATCCCAAAGGAAAGGTGCACCTGCGGTGAGTGGGGATGGCAGAGCCTCCTTCCCCAGGGGAACGAGGACTCACAGGCTGCAGGTCCTGCATCTCCCAGCACGGCTTCACGGGCTGCCCCATCACCTGCCTCTGCTTTGTACAGCCTGGGTCAAAAGCCGGGGCTGGGGACAAAATGGGCAGAAGTCAGCGTCACTGAGCGTTGGGGAGGAAGGAGATTTCAGGAACGGGGTAGAGGCTGGTAAGCTTGGGTGTGACACTAGCAAAATTGTGCTTTGCCAAGCTGTAGATTGAAACCCATGAGAGTAATTGCTGCTTTGCTGCGTGACCTAAAAGAGGATGTGGCCACGCTACGCACACCAGTATCCTTGAAATACAGAATAGCTCTTCTGTAGCCACAGGAACAGAGATAGCAGCTGATGGTGGGGGATTTCAAGAATTACTCATCAGCCACAGATTTCCTCCTTAGCAAAGGTGCAACTCCACGCTGCTGGGGAGGGAGACGAATCTCACATCCAGAGGGGAAACCGGAGGAAATGCGATGGAGCAGATGCACACATCAGGCTGTTCAGGTGCACATTACTGGAGAAAGGTTAACTGCATTTTTTTTTAAAGCAATATGACATTCTTGAGGCTACTGTGGAGTGAATGTTCACATCTGCTGGACACCATTCCTCCTTGCTACCCAGGGCTTAATCCTCTAAAAGTCAGGTTAAAAAAAAATAAAATCCTTTTGAACTGACCAGATTGGAGGCTTCCTACAAACCCATTTTTCATCTCTTCTTTAGGTCTTGTCCCCTGAGAGGTTTTCAGTTGCTTCTTTCGCCTCTCCAGAAGTCTCAGATGTTCACCCCAGCTCCCCTCCCAACACTACCCAGTAGCGTCCTTGGACCATGTTCTCCTGCTCCTCCCACCCTTCATTCACAGGTGGGATGCACCAGGGCACCTCATGAACCAGCACACAGAAAGACCACCATTTGAGGACAAGGAATTCATTGCTATTTATCTAAATAGTTTTCATCCAAACAGGACAGAGTACTTGAGCTGTAATAACTCTCCTAATGGACTAGTAAGAGAGAAAAACTTAATGTTTAGCAGAAAAGCTGAGCTGTCAAAAGTACTCATTAAAGTTGGAACGGTTGTGATAGGGAGAGATTAGCTCTGAAAGGGAGGAGATTATAACAAACTCGGGTAGAACAATATTGGTCCTGGAGTCTTCGAGAGCTTTGGAGCCCTATCCCAAGGGCTGGAGCCCTATTCCAAAGGCTGGAGGCCAACCCCTAAGTCGCACTGGCAAGAGAAGTGTAGCCTTAGAGCTGAACCAAGTGTACAGATTAGATAAAATATCAGGGTAAAGTTAACAGTGCTATGTCCTAGTTAACGGAGGCTTGTTTCTGCTCTGTGGTTTCATTGCAGTCCCCTCTACCCAACACCCAGGCCACAAGAAGTGGTGACAGCCATCTGAGCTGCGGGGCAGGGACTGTCACCTGCACGCTCCTGCACAGCAGACCCCTTGTCTTTGGCAAGGCCACAACCCCAACTTCACATGTTGTGACACAGCCCCTTCACAGTCTGCATGGGACTATGCAGACCCCAAAAAGTTGTTTGAAACTACCCACTCTCTCTGCTTAACATGTGGGGAGTGACAGAGGTATTTCCAATGACCCAAGAGAGGCATTCAACCCAACAGGATCCTGGCAGCCGCCTTCTTGTGACAAGCTTGTGCAGACACTCCTGGACCACACGGGCATCGAGGACCCTTGGTCAGCAAGCTGTGTGAAGGGAATGGCATCTGCAGAGGCCACACTTCATTCAGAGGTGTTGCTGTCCTGCCTGGGCACGGGTGGTTTGCAGAAAGCAGCTCTGAGCAGCCTTGTGTCCCTGCCCCAGGATGCTTGGGAAGGGGCATCCCATTCCACCTCCAAGGGACCACAGGGCTTGGGATAACTCAAGAGGCAGGTAGGACCCACAGGCCAGTCCTGTGATCTCACAGGCCCATAAGACCCATAAGAGTTACTGAAAGAGGGGTGCAAACCGAACCATGGTAACTCTCGCACATGCTGGGTGGGCTAGACCTGCTCCTGGAGGAGCCTCGGCAGCTTGCAAAGATCTCTCAGGTAACGCTCTTAATCCTGGAGCTGGCAAAACACAATGCGAGCGGTAATCCAGATAACCTTTGCTGTATATCAGTCAGAGAAACAGAGGAGGTGCCCTAGAGAAAGAAGGCTGCAGAAGCAGAGACAGGGAAGGTGGGAGAGCAGCCTTCAAGCACCTGCCATGCCTCTGGCGGTGCTCAAAGGTCTTTTGTTGGTCTTTGTTTAACTGTCCAGCTCAGCATCCCCTTCTGATCCATTAAAATATCACAAAGACTAAAGTATTACTGAGGAATGCATGAACTGCCCAAGCTCCCACTTTTGTTTGATTTGATTTCTCTATGAAGTCTCTCTCAAGGAGCTCAGGTTGCATTTTCTTGGGGAACATTTTGTCAGATCAGCACGTACAGCATGAAATCGATAGCAGCTTTTGAAGGAAGACCAGATTCATCCATCATCCAGAACAACCTCTTAAGCCAACTTTTCTTGGGTAG